ATAAAGTGTTCAGTGTAAATAAAGTGTTCAGTGTGGATAAAGTGTTCAGTGTGGATAAAGTGTTCAGTGTGGATAAAGTGTTCAGTGTGAATAAAGTGTTCAGTGTGAATAAAGTGTTCAGTGTGGAGAACTGAGCACGTTAAAGCTGAAGTTGAAGCGGGCTGACCTGAGGCAGAGGCATGGTCTCTGAGGTGCGGCGGGGAGGACAAGCAGAGCTGACGGGGCTGCATCTGCCCGTGTGTCCGATGGTGTGAGCTCGCTCCTCCAGACCTGATCTTTTATTCTGAAAAAAAGAACAAAAAGCAAACTCTTCACTGAAGCTAAAGTAAACATCAGAGGCGACATCTTTAACCGATGCACAACTTGTGTTTATTTTTGAAACGTGGATCTGTGAAGTTGCGAGTGAGAGGAAGCAGAGCGAGCCGTACGGTCTGGTCTGAAGCCCTGCGAGGCGAGGCCACGACGGCCGCAGCTGTGACACGCTGTTCGGGCAGACTTCCTCTCTTCACCTGCAGGAAGGAAGCAGACAGGAAGTAGGTACACAGCTCTGCTCAGAACCAGGTGCCACGAGCAATCGACAAAAACTAGTTTCATCTATTTATACTCAGAAATCAGAAGGTCTTATCTTTTCTCGGCTGTGGGTAGAAACAGCTCAACCTTTAACATAAACCTGATGAGAGTTTGGTCATTTTGTCTTCACTCATGAGTGAGTGAAATCACAGAAGAAACAATCAAAAACTGCATTTTCTCTGCTGGAACGAATGAATGATATTTGAAAAAAAAGGGGAAAGTGCTCCTGCCTGGGCCGAGGTGGAGCTCCGGCTGTCTTCGCTGCCYTCTCTGAGGAAGATCTGTCTGGTTCTGGAGATGGACGTGGTTTTGTAGAACTCCACCATCTTGTTTATGGAGGTGAACTTTTCGGACCACAGGAAGTACTGGCCTTTATTGTCCCTCATCACTTTGAAGTGCTGGACGTCGTTCTCATGTCTGAGAAAAAAAGAAAGAAACTAGTTAAAAAGGTCAGATGACAGCAGGAACTTACTTTTAGCTTTAGTTTCTGTGCAGAAACATCTGATTCCTGGTTTTCCCAGAGGCTTGGCTGGATTGTCCTCTGCTGGTTAGTGAGGAAAACTACAACAACAGAGAGAAACTCTAATCTGTGCATAAACAGGTGAGGATCTAGTAATAAAACTGTAGCTGCATCACTGACAGGAAGAGCTTTAAATTAAAAATCATCATAATTTCTGTTCAAAACCACAAATGAGGAAACAGAATGACTAAATCAATAAAAATAAAAAACACAATATTTTCACGGCAACTTCCTCTGTCTTTTAAATCAGATTAAAGATTCAGTTCATGAAACAAAAAACTACAAAAACATATAATTAAGAACTATTAAAACAAAGTAAACAGTTTTTACTAAATACATTGAACCAAAATATCAGACATAATAAAAAATACYTCAGTTTATTTTTGCTCAAAATAGCTTCACCTGCTGCTGTCAGGGTTTGTAGAGGAAGTTTTATGACTCAGAGAATATATAAATATCTATAAATATAGTTATATGTGTGTGTGACGTGATCGTCATATGATTTAATTCTGAGAAATAATTCTCCACGCAACAAACTGTGAAGAATTATTTCTGACGCTTTAATCAGAACAAAAACTTAACATTATCAAGACTTTACTTACAAAATAAAAACATAAAATAGATTGTTTTCAAGGTTATTCTTTATTTTTTTAAACCATTTTGTTTTAATTAAGTTGGTTATTGTTTCATTTTTACTGGTTATTTTTAGTCAAATCAACCTGTGAGTTAATGGAATAATTTACTCAAATTTATTTACAGGAACTTTAAAGGTTTAAAAGGTGTGTTTGTCACATTTTTCTACTGAATCAAAAACTGTTATCAGTGACTTGTTAAAAGGAATGAACTTTTTTTCAGGTTAATCGGTTAAAGTCTGAAAGAACAGGATGTTTGTTTTTTTCACTTTAGTTAACCCCATCTGGCTTTACTGAAGAGCTTTTAAACAAAAAGCTTAAAAAATTAAATAAAATGTTAGTTTTTAAGGACCAAGTTCTGTTTTGTAAACACACAAGCAACACAGAACCCTGATGGTTCCAGACCCGGGTCACCGACATATTCTGGTGATACAGTTAGCATTTAGCTTGGCTCCGACCTCAGTTAGCATTTAGCTCAGCTCCGACCTCAGCTGCTTCACCTACTTGACAGAGATGGAGTAATCTCCAGGGGAGCTCTGACAGCCTCGGATCACAAAGTCCCCCAAGGAGTTGTGCCTCAGGAGCTCCTCTGCAGCCGTTCGGCTGATGTTCTCCCGAAACCACCTGAAGAAGAGGAGCCTCGATTAGAACCACACACTACACACACTGCACACACACACTGCACACACACACTACAGACTGCACACACACTACACACACACTGCACACAAAACCTACACACAGACTGCAAAAAAACACTACACACACTACACACAGACTGCACAGAAACACTARACACACTACACACAGACTGCACACACACACTACACACACACACTGCACACAAACACTACAGACTGCACACAAAACCTACACACAGACTGCAAACAAACACTACACACACACTGCACACAAACACTACAGACTGAACACACACTACACACACTGCACACAAAACTACACACAGACTGCACAAAACCTACACAGAGACTGCACACAAACACTACACACAACACACACAGACTGCACACAAACACTACACACAACACACACAGACTGCACACAAACACTACACACAA